AGAGTGCAGAAGTGGGCTGGTAGGATGTAGAATAAATTAATTAGAAATTAGGACTCTGAGGGCTAGCTGGAAATTTCCTACTCTCAGGAGACCAGAGAGAGGTCTTACAGAAGAGAGTATCACTCTCTGTCCATGTAAAAGAACTGGCAACACACACTGTCTGCCTTTATCTCTTGTGCATGCAAGAAAAAAAAATAAGAAACATAGCCTTTTTTTAAAATACCTCATTATATTAAGGCCATTCCCATGATTAGGAGAGTGCAGAGTTTTCTTCACTTCTGGGGTTTAGAGTCTTGTGTAAGATCCAAACCCTATGTGGCAGGCAGTGGTCCCCTCTGACTAGCCTTCTGAGTGTGTTGTTTCATGCCTTTGTGAATGCATCCACCCAGGATGCTGCAGTGACCTCTCTTGGCAAGCTGTGTGTGTGTGTGTGTGTGTGTGTGTGTGTGTGTGTGTGTGTGTGTCAAATTGCAAGCACGTCTTTCTTCTCAAGCTACTCTTTGTCTGATGTATGCCAGGAGAAGCAAAAGCAAAATGAGCTCAAAAGCAGTGCTAATTGCCCGGAATTTGCTCAGAATATTACCTATTCCTTACAAACAGAAAAAAATCCTCTGCCCATTTTTATAGTGTTAACACAGCACTAGCATAACAGTCCAGCCAACAAAATTTGTCAAAAAGCCAGTCCAGATTAAACATAAAATATTTTATCCCTGAGTACTCAAACATCCTGTTTCTTTAAAGAATAGCACACAAATTAGAGTCATCTCAGTGCATTAGCCTCCCTTGACGACATTACAAATCCCAGTACAAAATTAAGATATAAGCCTACGATGCTTACAAAAGTTGTGAAAGCTCATGCCTGCATTTGCTCATTTCTCTGATGTCTCTGTTGTTCATCCTGGGCAGAAGATGTATTTCAGCCATTTGAATTTGCACTCCAGGTTTATCGAAGTATTCCTCTCACCGTCCCCACCCTGACCCAGAGGAAGTACTGTCTTTCAGACACTCTGCAAGTCACCAGTGGTGTTGCAACATGTCGCTCCACCTAAATGTGGCTGGACAGGCAGATAAGGAACATAGGCCATCTGCATAAAGAAAAGCTTTCCAATGGGAAGGACAAGGATGCATTGGAACAGGTTGCCTGCAGCACTGGTGGAGTCTCCATCCGAGTCTTTAAGAACTAGTTAGACTGGCATCTGTCAGGAGTGATACAGGCACAGTTCCTTTTGCCTTCCAACACTGTTTTTCTCAATCTATGGTGAAATTCTGCGCCTGACAAACTGTCATGAATATCTGCTTGTTCCCTGCAATCTGGGAAACTGAGGAGGCACATTTTGGCAACTGGCGTGGAGGCAGGAGATTACATGTCATGTTAATCACCTTAGAAGAACATTTGACCCTTACCTACTGTTGTCCAGATTCAAGAGTCATTGGTATTGACTGACATGTGAATCTTCAAATCCCAAAATGACCAACAGTTTCCAGAGTTTTACAACTCACATTATTTTTAGCCCATTACACAGCCCTCATGATTGATCTTCCTGGAGTGGCTCTGCTGCAAGCCTCGAGGAGGGGGAGAGGAAGGGTTTCATGGAGACACACATTTCCACGGGTGATAAGCTCGCATCTGTTTTGAACTGTAAAATGGTAGCTCGTTGTGAAATCCTCTTGGAGCATACCTTTTAAATGCCAAACAAGCCCAGCATCAGCAGCACATAAAGAAATATTTGAAAGGCTCTGGAGGGAAGCCAAGAGGACGTGGCTAATGTTTCACCTAACCTCACCCCCTCGCTGGCTGGCTGGCTCTGCCCCGGCAGCCCTGCCTGTGTGACGTGAGCCTCCGAGCTCCGGCAGGCAGCTGCTCCTTGACTGCCTGCACTGTCTGCCCGGCTGGCAGCAGGACAAGAGAAACAAAGAGGCTAAAAACATAACGTAGCAAGAGATTAGGAGCGGCGTGGCCAGGAGGGCAGCACGCCCTCCCTCAGGGCAGGGACGGGCTTGGAGTCTGGGCCTCTCCTGGCGGGCACCCACCCACAGAGCCACCGGGCTGGGCCTCACCTCTCCCTCCAGGAGGGTCCAGCACTGAGGAGACACAAAATGAGGTTCTTTCACAACAGGCTGGCATTAATGGGGGAGCAGTGTGGGAAAAACTTGTCAGGCTGTGCCTTTCCTTTGGAAAAATCCACTTTGACTCCCCAGCCTCCAGTCCTTTGTCCTTCACACGCAGTTATTTGCCTCCTCTTTCACGCCCCTAAATACCTTTCCTTTAGCACAGAACAGCTTATTTTTCAATAATCTGTATTAAAAGTAATTATCCAGAGGCCTGCCCCAGTAGTCCTGCTCTGAAACTCCTGCTTTCTTTGAGTTTTTCCTGTTATGTCCTTTCTTTATAAAATTAGTACCCACCCGGATACAAAAATCTGCAGAATGCCTGCTATAGTTTTGTTGCTATCACTTGTTGGCAGGTCGAGTTGAAAATGGAGCTGACAAGCAGGATATGCCAAGAGAAATGTTCTATATGCAGGAATTTGGACTTAGTGGACATGAAGAGTGTTAATTATTGATTGATCTTATTTGCCTCTGTTCAAGTGAGGTTTTTAGAATTGACCTTTTACCTGCCTTAAAATATAAACAATGGTTAATAGGGTAGTAGAGCCACAAAGTTTTCAGGGGATTTAGAAAAAGCCCTCTTCATGCTAGCATCAACCCAAATGACAAAAGTATTACAGATCTTAAATGGAAAGAAGCAAGCCATAATTTTTTACTAGGTCCTGAGCAAAAACTTGGAGTTTAAGCCATAAGCATAGCAGCAAATCAGTTGCCAAGAGGCAGCAAAACAGAAGTACAGATCAGAGACTGGTAGGGGACTCAAAGAAAATGTTATTATTCTTGCAGAGAATGTAGGAACTGACAGGAAGGAAAATATCTAAAAATGGGTGCACAGTTTGGCCAAAACCAGATACAGATTTGAAATCACCTTAGTTTTTGAAGTTTTGGGGGTTTTTTGGGGGTTGGTTTTTTTGGTTGGTTGGTTGGTTGGTGGGGTTTTTTTGTTTGTTTACTAGATTTGTTTTGGATCTGGCTGTTTTTCATTTTGAGGCAAAAGAGATGAAACACAACAAGTAAGGAAGTTCTTATCATTTTTCAGGAACACCCAGAAGCAGAATAATGGAAAACTAACAATAGGTAGGAAAGACTGCAAAGCATGTTAGAGTTTTCCTATACAAACTCTGCTGAGTTCTGCAGTCTGATGGTATATCGTGACATACAGACTCCTTCCTGGGGTTGTGCAGCTGTATACAGACCTCATGTAGGCACAGGGAGATGTTGTGATAAACTCCTAGAGAGTACCAAAGCTGGATTGCCTTTGGAGGCACAGTGATCCATCCCTTTCCAATCCTCCGCGCTGTGCTCCTTCTGAGGTCTTCAGTCTTTTTGCACCATCAGCCATAGGACTCACCTTGTGTTCAGCCAGAAGGGCTGGAGTCGTGTTTCCGTGTTCTCTTCCCTGCTTGAGCACCCATATCATGTCAGAAACTTCCTGGCCTGAACATAGGTCAGACGTTGCATTAGTATTGTGCAAGTTTGAGCCAGTCTCCCAAACACTGTAGAATTACCATTTTTTTTAATTCCTCTTCTCAATAAAAAATTGTAGTGCCAGAGAAAGTTCATTGCTCTAGGTGGTGTTTTACTTAAGCTGTTTCTCTCTGTGTAGTAACAGGTACTTCTGTAGCAAAAATATGCATATGCAAGTCTATCTATCAGCCTGTTTAGTGATGATAAGTTTGTTCTACAGGCTTTTGAACACAGTCTAAACTGTTCTCATCCAACAGCTCTGCACAGGCAAAAAGAAAACAGAATGAGCTCTGACCCTTGGACTGCCTCTGCCAATCAGAGTCACTCAATACAGCAGTCATCAGCATCAGAGAAGGAGAAAAAATACTCAGGAACTCACACCTATCCCATCTGCCAGCAGGTACAGCACGTGCAGGACATCAGGGAAAGGCAGTACATAGCGACTGGCTTATACCCTGAGAATAAAGTTCCACATTTTTCCTATGTGATTTGTGGAAGTGTTTTGAGTAATGAATGAAAATTACTTTCCCCCAGCCCCCACCCACACACCCAAGTGCAGCCGAACCCTCTATTTCACTGAGCATTCATACTCTTGCCTTTGATGCACATACATCTGCCACTGCTCAGGTATGGCAGTGCTTTGTGACCTGTAATGCATAAGTAGAGATGCAGGAAAAGCTCCTGCCTCCACTTCACAAGAGCACTGATTTGGCCGAGGTCCTAAATCTCAGACAGAACTCAAACTATAAAGCAATGGCTGAAAGTTTAACTATCTTTTTTTTCTGTCATTAATATTCATAAATAATAGCTGACCAGATCTTCAGCTGGCTAATGTCACCTTACCTTTAAAGCTTTAAGGAGATGTTAACTGTTTTCTCTATCTCTGGGTTTAACCCTGGCCCTCAAATGTCAAATGGATCAGTTTCTGGAGTTGTGCAGAGTCTTTAATGACCCTCCATTCTTGCTTGTTTCCTTACAGGCAGCAGAGGACACAGGAGTAGGTGTCCACCACAGGAAGGACGTGCATGGAATGAGTGCTGGCTGGGGTGGATGCAGGGGCCAGAGGGATGACCCGGAGGGCTCAGCAGATCTCTTGGGGACACCTAGGGAACTCCCTTGTCCCACCACCTACACAGCACTACTAAGCACAGGACATGCTTCTGGATCACACTGAAACTCCCCGGAACTCCCTTTCCACTGACATGTGCAAGAAAGCCTCTTTCTTATACCACTCTTATACAAATAAAACAATAGTACAGGATAAATCCTACTTTCTTTTTTACTCAATTAAATCCAAGACAACACTGTTGGTTTCGGGAGGGGAGCTTACATTTCTGCATCTTCGCAATTCCAGAAGAAAATTCTCTACTTTAGTAGGGAGCAGGGAATACCAGATGTGGCTGGAGCTATGTGATTAATGAGTAGCTGATGTGCAATCCCATGAGAGGAAAACTTGTGGAGGGGCTGAAAAGTTAACAATCATTTGGGGAGGGGGGAAATAAAATATTATATTTTATTTCATTCCATTAATAGTTTGAAAAATAAATGTAACTAAATGCAACCTCAATTACTTCCTTTAAAAAGGTCCAAAATATTAATACTGAAAAAAAAAGAATTATTTTAACAATTTTTAAAATAATTCTTAAGTCTGTTCACTGATTCAGTACAACTTTCTCAATATTTTCAGTCAAGTCAAGACTGCATTTTGGTCTTACTACATAAATCTGAAAAAAAACACATTAATCTGGAAAAAAAAATCCAATTTTGTTTTGGACTTAAAAAGCAGAAATGTCTTGCTTCTGTGGATAGCTTCACATTTTATACTCCTTTATTTTTCTTACATCAAAGGACTAAGAGATTTAAATTTATTCCCTTTTTGTAGACCTTCCATGTCCTAATTTACCTTCCAGTTTACGAATTGAATCATCTATGAGTTATTTCAGATTATTTCTAAAATTTGTGACAATGAAATTACTGGCAATTTTTTAATCAATGGAACTGAATATGTTTTGCATTTTAATCAGTTGTTGGGTTCTTAGACTACTTGTTCAACTCAAGTACTCAGCAAGCGTTTTTAAGGGAAACAATTTTTCCTTAAAGATTCAACACTCTGTTCCATCTGCTATGGATGGAAAAACTCAAGGATGTAATTTCTGAGACCACCAAAAAGTCATGGAGAAAAAGAACAGGAAGACTAGACTTATGAACCTTCTTGCTATTTTTGTATTGTGAGTTTTATTTGTACAGCTCAGGATCTGGCCATCTGAGGAGTTTGCTGTGCTCCCTTAGAAAAAAATTGGACTACAGAGCAGTACATTTCCCACTTTCTAAGCAAAGTTTAAGGCTATATTTTTTCCTATTCTGTGGATCTAATGGTCTGCCAAAAGTATAAGGATAGTACTTAAAAAAAAAGTTTATGTATTTAGTTCATTTTTTAGCTTTTGGTACACATAGGGATTTGTTTAAACTCTGTTTTGTTTCAAGTTAATGTATTAAAACTGTTCTGCATAGGCTGCAAATGAACAGCTGGTTAAAAAACTTATTTAGTTACCTTCACAAGAATTGTCATCTTTCCTATCATCTGGTACCATGCAACACTGGCCATTTTACTGTATTGAAGAATTTCCTGTCTTTATCAAGTCAAACTCCAGGCACATTTTGCAGCAGAGAAGAATTAAAGAGGGAGGACCCTGTGCAAAGGAACCACAACTTATCAGTGTAAACCCTAAAATAAATTAAAACATTTTTTTTCTGAGGCATTTTAGCTATCAGAGGAGCTTCCACGCCATTTGTCATGCTATGTTCCTAATTAATCATTGCATGAACATGCCTCTGCACTTGAGGTTCTGGACAGGTATGTCCTCATGCACTCTCTGCTCCCCAAGCTTACAAGCCTTTCACAAGAAGTTTAGACAGGAGGAAGGAGTGCAGGACACCAGGATGACAATGCTTATGACAGTCTGGGGTTTACAAGATTCTGTTTTTCAAAAGGGTGGATATTTCTTATTATTATATCCACTTGTTTGCACTACAGTTATGACAGAGAAGGAGAAAACCCAGACAGAGAGGGAAACAAGACAGAGGTGACTGCAAAGTAATCACAACTAGTCAAAAAACCACAGGTGACAGCTGCATCCCATTCTTCTCTAGGGAAAGGAGGAAGTATGAAGAGTGACCCTGCCCTTTTGGAGATTTTGACCTTTCTGTAACCTTACAGGTGCTAGAGGAAATCCAGATGAGTAGAAACCCCTCCAGCCTGAGTCCTAGTCACATTAAATTAAAAGCTGGCCGGTTGTTTGGCCAGTAGAGATTTTATTTAGGACAGCAAGATATAGACTGAAGATGGAAATGAATAGGACAAGAGCTACAAGTTGCACCAACTGTGAATTATATTATTTTGCAATGAATCCACAGGAAACTCTTAAAGGCCTTGAACCCAAAGTACACATCCCTGCTCTTTATTGGGAGGTCCCTCTTCACTGGTGCAGAGATGAAACACTAGGTGTCTGGGCAGTCACCCCCAAAAAAGAGCTGCTTTGCCTTGCAATATGCAGATAGAAATTGAGCACTATGTGTGCCTGCAGTTCTCCCATCTGCAGACTGCTTCAAATCGCACTTCAAAATGCATTCAGATCCACAGTTTCTTCTTCTAAGGATAAGTACCCAAGTGCCATAAACTCTTTGATATGTCTCTATGGCCTGATCTGGATAATTTACTGTATGAAAAGTCAGCTGTACTATAACCCAATGGCACTAATGGTATGGTGAGCCACTGTAACTTTTCTATTGATTTTGTCTCGTTCTGTATCTGCTATGCCTCGTATGTGTCTGGATGGCTGCAGTGCTGGCTGATATCTCGAGTGCAGACCTGGAGGCCAGGATTAACAGGCACATCAGAAGCATCCTGGACAAGTGATGTAGATATGGGAAGTGTTGCTAATAGTGACATGATGGGAATAAAATGTTAAAATCATGTTTAATTCTGTTTCTACACATAGCACTGTGTGGTGACAATGGCTCCCTTATTCTAAGGTTCAGAATGTATATGTATCTATCACCTGCAGAAATGAGCTACAGTAGAGGAGGTGGGGAGGGAGCACAGGTTGGGCAGGAACATTGCCAGAGCTGCAGTTCTGTCCCTGCCATCTGGAATGCCTTCACCTGGTCTCAATGCAAGAGTGCATCCCTGTCCTTCCACCAACATTGGTACCCTTATACAAGCTGGGTGCAAAGGTGTGCCTCCCCAAACTTCAGTGAGACCAAGCACCAGCTTGAGCAGCAAATTTCTCAAAATCATGGACATCTCACTGCCAAAGCTATTCCCAGGAACCGAACAGTTCACACAACTTTTAATATAAGCATCTCTCTGTAAAATTGAATTCTGCAAAGAATATAATTTTCTCTCATTTGTGACTTCTAAAAGATCATGTAAGTTTGAAAAGTCTATTTTAAGTTCTGGCAAATTAAGAATACAATCAACCACTGAAAGTCAGTCAGGAGGCTTTGTTATGACCAAATGCTTTTGGCTACTGAAAATATTTCAGCTTTAGCTTGACATTTTGAATATTTTAGGTACCATTAAAGGAAATTCTGAAGTAAAATAATGATGAACCAAAGGTATTGAAAAAACATCAGTGACAATTTAGTTTTTAACAAACTGCTTTATTAAACACTTCTATATTACTCAAAATATGTGCAAAATTTCCATGGTTTTGTGAACTGACTCAGAGTTACTACAGAAGGTCTCTCTCCATCATTCAGCCAGTGAGAGTTGAAACTGCACAGAATGAAACAGGATGACAATGATGAACACCTTCATCAAATAAATTGAATAGGAATCACCCCACTTGAAGAAGGCAAGCATCATTTGAGTTAAGAGGCATGCTAGTAAAAAGTAGAAGAAATCATTCCCCACACAGTTCCATCTTTCTATGTTTTCCAGCAATGTTTCCCCACATCAATATTATTAGCACATTATAATGAAGTTATTTTTTAAACAGTCTTATATCATATGACTTTTTTCAGAAATTGTTTAATATGGCCTTGGTTTTGCTTGGTTTTATTCAGTTTCTGTGGGATGGATTTTTTTTTTTAAGTGAGCATTTTGTGATGAAAGGAATAAATCTGGTCTTAATTTTCTGTTGTCCCATTGGGCTTGATTCCTACTGTGCTCTGCATAACTTTATTTTAGAGATTATACCCCTGAGAAGTTTGCATTTAGAAATGGTAGGTTTTGA